AAGAGCTGCCCCGCAGCACAACCTGCTGGCATCTCTCAGCCAAGGCAGGACTGCTCTAAATAATTATCCAGCCTAGCAGCAGCACAGAAAGACAAGGTCCAAAGACATGAAACTACAAGGAAGTCGACCCAAAATGCTGTGGAGCAAAGACCAGCTTTGCCTACAATAACTAGTTACCCAGCAAGTTCAAAAAGCCAAAGCAGAGTCCTAACCCTGAACTACTCAGGCCTTCTAGCAGACGGGACTCATCACAGCTCTAGGCTTTGCTGTTGTTTAGGCCTGGTTTCTTCTAGAAAAGCACAAACTTATGAGCCTTTACTCTGTGCAAGATAAAAATATTTGCTTTTGAATGCACGGGCCAACTTCAGCCAAATGCAACAAAGGTAATTAAGTTTCATGAGACTTAGAGGCCATAAAAAGGAGACAACTAGTGTTGCCCTGGTCAGGGGAGATGCTGCAATAGGAACTTGCCCTCACTGCATACCAGAGAACATACAGTGGAAAGAGCCCTCAGAAATGGTTCAGTAGGGCAGGGGTCAGGCTTCTAGTTTTGATGCCAGAAATGAGCAGCCACTGGACAAATCCAGAGAAACCAATTCCATGACACCTCTATTTCCAGAGCTCCCTGGGTGTTTTCCGACTACATGCATTAGCTGTTTTAAAGGTCATGCTTCAGAGTTCTGCATATGCTCCCCAATTCTCTGGACACCACATGGCATATTGCAAACTTACTTTGCAGTCGGAAAGTTCTTCATTCCTATTATTCATTTAAGTGTTTTAATATTCCATTATTTCCTTTCTTCTCTGCTGTCTAGCACAACATCCTTCTAATACAATTAGGCAATTAAATAAGAGGGAGGTGGCATTTAGAATTAATCTAATCTAAATTTAATTCCAGGATGTTCCTGTGTTTTATTGAGAAAGCGGCTATGCAACAGGTTGAAACCCAATGTGCGTCAGATATGCTATGCTTCACAGCAGTGGAATGTTGTTTTTGGCAGTTCCTTGGCAGAAGTCTTCTAGATAACTTGGTAGGACCCCATCTGTTGTTATATTGTGAGTTCCGCAAGAAAACTTCCAAAGGTGTTGCATTTCCTCGTCTAACATACTCGCTATTAACCATTGCAACATTATACCGTAAAATGCAACAGATTTGCCACCATTTGCGGCTTCAAAAGCAAAACAAGTGCAGCCATTCTAGGAGGCTGGCTTTAGCCCAAACACAAACAATGGATTGGAGGCAGAAAAAAACCCCAAGTGAATGTTTGCTGATGGTGACCTCCAACGGAAAAAGAGACAGAAGTGAAGAAATCCCAATTGCTTCAGACTTGCATATCAAGCCACCACTGCAGAAGAGCCCTTTGGAGAGCTGCACATGCTATCCACCTTCCACAGTTCCCACTGCTCTCTTCCTTCAATGCTCACGAGTGGCTAGATGCAAAACACAACCAGCAAAGTTGCCAAATCTTTACAATCAGGTTTCAATGTACAAGCCAGAAAATACACCTTGACTTCAGAGTCCAGGCTCCAGTGCACTATTTGTGTATTTTAATGCCTAAGCTGAGCTAGTACAAGACAAAACCATTGAGATGCAAGCAAAAACCTACCTGACATTTCTCCGGCTGGCACTGCAGTTTGAACACCATTGTGATAGGACAAGGGGTAATGGTTTTAGTTTAAAGAGGGTAGTTTCAGACTAGATATAAAGAAGAAATTTTTTACGATGAGGGTGGTGAAACACTGGCACAGGCTGGCCAGAGAGGTGGTACATGCCCCACTCCTGGAAACAGGGGCTCTGAGCAACCTGATCTGGTTGAAGATGTCCCTGCTCACTGCAGGGGGGGTCGGACTAGACGGCCTTTAAAGGTCCCTTCTGACCCAAACCACTGTATGTTTCTATGGTAAGCATGAGAATCTCTACTGTGTGTGCAGAAATGCACTGAGCAAGACTTGCTCTGGTCCTCAGCCTTACACTAAAAAGCTCAGTTTCTGCTGAGAAAGTAATTCACAGCTGAAAGTGCAATAACTCAAATAAGAACAAAAAAGACAGGCTGAAGAGGAGACCTGGATGTAAACATACCAGGGTTGTGGGAACGGCAACAAGCTTCTGATGAGTACTCACCTTCCTGTAAGAACTTGTTAAGAAGCCACAAAGATTTTTATAGTGGTGGTTTCTTTTAGCCGTGATGTAGTTGTAATATTCTCACTGTGTCCATGAGAAACTCCCTAAGATTCTTGTAAATAGAGTTGTAACCCAATTCCAACTCTTATATCATACCCACTTGAATTATCCCCGAAGGGTTTTATTTGTTTTTAATAAACCAATCTTAGAAAGTATCTGTTTTTAGAAAAGAAAACTCTTTCAGAGTTTTGTTTAAGTAATGCCCCCTTCCTCTCCCTTCCCTTCCTACTCCCTCCAAGAAATCAGTACAGGAGTCTAGTATCTCTTCAAAGAAGAGAACAAAAAACAATGCAACTTCACAAGCTTCCACTCCACAGAAGCTGGTACCCAACTTTGGGTCTATGAAGAGATCCACAGAGACCGAAAGAAACAAGGCCACAGTTAGTGCAAAATCCATACAAAATTTTCCCCATTTCCAGGATATGCAATTACAAGTCTGGGGATCATAGTTTGCCTTTGTGGAAATGGCTCAGGCAACTTAAAAAAAAAAAAAATTTAAAAAAACCACTGCAGAGCACTAGCAGAGCAGCTACAAACGACACTGACACTTTATACAGGAAGGCAGTTTCTCCAGGCAGGAACTCGCTCACACAGGCAGGGATAAACTACAAGGAAGAGCACTATTGCCTGGATTCACCCTATCGAAGTGCAAACATGTACCTGAGATGTCTAAGCGAGGAGAAAGAGAAGTGAGCTGCATCTGAGGTAAGACCCATCTCCTTACTTGGAAGACGGCCCTGAGTCCAGGAGACAGCTCTTATCTCAGTATCTAGAGCAGAGCTTGAAGATCACATGCTTAGGTCTGTGGTTAGTGACTCATCTGCAATTAAGGTGAAACCCAATATCCCCATGTGGAGATAAGTGCCTGGCCTTCTGGTGGTAGAGCAGCATCTGCCCGACATCTGCCAACAGCTCGGAACAGTCATGCTGAGAGGTGAACAGTCCCAAGCACCTCAATGGGGTGAAATTTCCCTGCCATGCTGGGGGATGTTCCCAGCACCTCGTTGCACAGATACTGCGCACAGGCAGCTCCTGGAATATGGCAGAAATCAGGGTTCAGTTCCCCTCTGCTGAGAAGCTGCCAATTAAAAATAACCTTAAAATACAATCAAATTCAATCCCTCAAATTTCCCCCCCGCTACAGGAACCGTTGTGTGAATTTCGTGGCTTATACTTCAAGCCTTCCAAGGAGGGAGACCCCAACCACACTATGCTTTTACCTTGAGAAATGCTCTAACCTACCAGCATGCAGATGCGGTCCATGCAAAAGCACAGCAAAATGCATCCTAGCACTGACAACCGAGTCATCTCACTGCCAAAGCAATCTCTTTCCTTCCCTCAACATACTCTACTTGCTGAAATTTTGTCCTCAAAATTTGTATTGGGTAAGATTCAAGAAATTACCTGCCACCCATTTCTTTCAAACAACCCCTTACCTCTGCTGCTGCTCCTGCTATTTGCAACTGTTTTCACAGTGCTTTCAGTTCCATGATGAACAAGAAGTCTGCAAAGTAACCTCTTCCAGGGTAAACACTCTCTCCAAAATCTAAACAGCCAAAGAATTTGGAAAAATAACCCAAACCAAACAGCTCAAGTTCTGAGGTTTGCCTATTATCACCCTCAAGACTACATGCAAGCAGCATTAAAGAAGAGCCAACTAATTCGAAGTGAGAGACAAGCTAACGATCTGGTTAAAACAACCCCACAATGCACCTCAATCCAGCATTTTGCTATTGGTATGTACACGTCATTCAAGTAAGACGCATTGATCACTGAAGAATACTTTCTGAAAATCAAGTGTTTCCTAGTCACTCTCTCAGCTGCAGGTCTTAGGAGGTGATCTGCAACTGCAGAGGTGCAATAAGGTTTCCAGACTACTAGTAACTCCAAGCTGGTCCTAAATGCAAATCAAAAACCAAATCAGAGCCTGATGCTCTATGCATGAAAGATAATAAGCAGCAAAGCATACCTGGGGGACTGGCAGCACACTGCTCAAATTACAGCAGCAGTACCCTGGAAGATGATCAGCACCTTCTGCAACATGTCCATACTTCCAGTGAGGTCTTCAAAGCCCCCATACTCAGAACACCGAAGTAGAGCTAATTTGCTTCAGCCCCAAAAGCCCACTTGCTTGCTTCTGAGCTGGCAGTGACAGGAATGAAAACAGAAATGCAACAAGATACGCCCTTCCAGGGCCCCGTTTATTGAGTGAATATAAAAATAAGATCATTTAAGTGCAGAGGAACAGTAATCCGCCCCATGGTGAAAAGATATCTTGGGTAAACAGACCGCTTTGCAAGCAAGAAGCATACTGAAACATGACACACATTGGATTAAAAGTTCCTTGATGCAGCAATACTCCACACTTCTCATCATTTCAGAGCACTTCGCAAAAGGTACAAATGCACCCTTTGCTCTATTTTCAGAGGAGCACATGTGAAACAACTGAAACACAAGGAACTTGCACTGTAAACAGTTGAAAAAGTGCCACAGCATTTTCTGAGGACAATGGCTTACACCTTGTTGGGTGTTGTGGGGTGTTTTTTTTTTTTTTTTGCAATGAAAAATAATGGCCAAAGCTGTTGTGCATCATGGAAGTTTTAAAAATGACTACTTTTTTTTTTTTACAGCAACCTATTGCACGGTGGAATAAATTTTTTTTTTCCTTAATACAGTACATGGCATTTCTCCTCAATTGCACTAGAAGTAAATTTGGAAGCACTTTCAGTTTTTTATAGGCAAATAGGAAAGAAAAACAAGTCAGGCAGGCTTTCAATCTCCTTTCCATCTCTCTGCCCACTGTTTTATCCCCACCCTTTCACAACTCCGAGTCCACATACATTCCATTGATCAGGTAATCCACTTGCGTGTAGTCCTTCTTCTTGTAGCTCTCATATGCCTGCATAAGGAAGAGAACTATCACAGTTATGAAAAAAAACGTACCAACTAAAAGCACTGTGAGAAGTGAACTTTTATCCACCAAGTACTGAGTCAGGGGCTCGGCAGCAATGAGAAGATAACCATTGTCCGTGTCCTGAGTTTCTGCAAGGCCTGAAGCTGTTGTTTTGGGTGCATTTTCTAGAACTGTGGTTGTTGAAAAAATGTGAGATGTTGGCTTTATCCCATGCCCAGTCATAGTTTCCTCTATAGAGGCAGTAGCTAAAGCCGTGGCACCTCTTGTAGAGCCCAGAAAAGAAGTGGATTTACTCAAGAACGTTGTGGCTGTACTTGCTTCTGGCTCTAGATGTAGCAATGTAACAACAGGCAGTGAATTTGTAGAGTGTGAACTCTCCAAAGTGGTGAGTGCCATGGCATGAGTAGAAGCAGTGGAAGATTTTCCTGCATCCTGCGCAATAAGTGTGGTCAACGTTGCGCTCAGTCTCTTCAGACCAGCTCCAACAGTGGTTGAGCTACTAGAGCTGGGAGCGCTGGGTGCAGGAGTGGCTGTGTTAAACTCCACTGGTTGAGGCATTTGAGTATCTGCTTCAGAAGTGACAGTGAGAGGCGCAGAAGTAGAAGTGGGGGACAATACTGAGACAGAGCTACTATTTCCCGATTTTTTGGTCGTGGTCACAAGCTTGGAGACATGGCTGGCAGCAGAAGCAGGGACGTTACCAGGCGTGGGAGAAGAGGCAGTGGATGGCATGGCTTCAGCAAGGAGACTAGAACCTCCAGGGGCGTTTGAGGCACTGGCAGTTGTTTCGTTTGAGGCTCTGGCAATTGTTTCATGAGCTGTAGTGAGGACAGTTGCATTTGTAACATTGGCTGTTGGGGCTGTGGCAGTGGCGGTGGTCACGGCGGTGGTGGCAGCATTGTTTGCGATTGGTTTGCTTGTGTTTGTTGTTACGTTTTCACTCTCAAACCCAGGCAAATACCGCAAGTGAACCTTGCGAGTCTGAGCAGTTGAGGAAAACAGGTTTTCCATGTTGTGTCGGTCAACCAGTGCATTCACCATCCTCTTCTTTCTCTGCGGAGAGCTTTGATGGTGGAACTGGGCTGTTTCCCTTTTCCCACTGATAATTTCTTCAAAAAGACAAAACCAATGAGTTTCATAAGAACAAAACTCGCAAGCTCAAATCTGACCTCATACCACCAACATGCAAACCAGAACACGTATTCTGCAGTACATGTAGTACAAGCGGAATATATCAGTCCTCAAGTCAGCAAGAACATGAAAACTCAGACCCCTGCCTTTATTGCACATAATCCCTTCAGGGTGGTTTTTTTTGTTGTTTGTTGTTTGTTTTTCCACAGACCTCTGGCATTTGCCCAACCAGGGAATTAATTCCACAAGAGAGGGGTAATGAAGTGCAGAGCTACAACACAGAAGCACATTATCAACAGAAGTAGTGTTACGAATGCCAGCTCCTGAGAAAACAACTCGTGGTTTTGAAGTTACACAGCATCAACAAAGCCTTCTTGCTTAGATTCAGGACTTTTACCTCACAAAACTGAGTGGAAATTTCCACTTACGCCTTCATACTTTGGGAGAATTTCCTTCACAACTAGTGATCTAGATTTATAGTGACATAAATCCCATCTGCTTATCAAAGCTCCAGTTGCTACATTGCAAAGGAATCTCTGGCAACCCAAAAGAACCATGAACAAACTTTTTTTTTTTAAACTCTGGTATAGCCAACTCTTGAAACATACTTTAGAAGACTGATTCTCCAATTATCAACAAGCTCTGTTTTGTTATTAGGTCAATTAAAGTTGAAGACCCTGGCACTGGAAAGTCACCATGAGCAATTGCTGCTAAGGCTGCTCTGATTATAGAAGGAGCCTGCTGCCTCTGGCACAAAATCCTGGCCATCTCAGAAAAAACAATGCCAAGACATTTTCCTTTCTCTTAAAAAATACAAATATACCTGTTACGCCTTTATTATCCAAAGGACAGCATGTGGAGTACAAATGGCTTGAATGAATGAGGTCATCAATGTGGAGACAAACTGTCACCCGGTAACAGTTACAGAAGTTACTCAAAGCCACATCAAGCACATGTAAGTGCCAGAGCCCTTACCAGGCTCCTGGAACAGTTTTTCCAGTGAACCAACTTTACCTATGGAATCGTCCTGCAGGCATTTCACAACCCATCTCTGAAAGCCAGTCAAGGTCTAAATGCAGGCATTTAAAGCAAAAGGACCAGGATCCTGGGTTTAGCAGGAGCCTTAGGCATGGCGTTACCTCCAAGCAGATCTTTGATGTCTTGTTCTCTGGCATTCTGGCACACGCTCAGCTGGTGACACAGCAAGAGGATGCAGTGACTCTGGTAGGGCACAGACCAATTACAGCGATGGTTACCTGAAAACAGCAGAGAAAAATGGGTTGCTACACAGTACACTAGACAGTCTGGCCTTAAAGGATCCTGACTCAGCCGTAGCGAAAATAACTGGAAAGCCAATGAAATCAATATAGCAGCTGCAGCCTACCTACCTGCTGTCTTCTGGTACCAATATGTCCTAACAGCAGTAATTCACTCACCCAGACAGGGACAAACAGAGCAGGCTACAGTTCAGACCTAAATGGTAGCATTCATCTAGATGTCTTAATGAGGAAAAAAAAAAAAAGCGAGCCAGAACTGAGAAGCCACCCATTTCATCACTGCAGGAGACAGCTCTCATCTCAGTGCTTGGAGTTACATAGAAAGTTACTCTTCATTTGCTGAACAAAGATACCATTAGCCATGGGAGCCATCACAGAAATGGTCTTTTAGTAATTCAAATCCCAACACAAGCTAAATAAACTCGTCACAGCAGGAACTCTCTCTCCTGGCATCCCTTCGAATTCACCAATTTCTTTCTGGGCACATCTACATACACGTATCCAAGCTTTGAGGGAAGGAATGAACCTCCTCTAACCAGCACTAAGAAGACATCTCAAACACTGTGCCCAGTTTTGGGGTCCCCAGCATATAAGAGCAGTATTGACATACTGGAGCGAGTCTAAGCGAGACTACTAGAATGTTTGAGAGGCTGAAGCAGATTGATTTACAGAAAATCTCAACTCAACATCAAGGGAAAGAATTAGTTTCCACCACGAGGGCACTCAAACACTGGGCTGGGGGCCAGAGAGGTGGTACACACTCCATATGGTCTTGAACAGCTAGATCTAAGTCAGGTTCAGACGAGACACCTTCAAAAGGTCCCTTCCTGCCTAAATTATGCTATGATTTTATGTAGTATCACAGTAGCAGGCAATTAATTTCTGGGACACAGAATAATAAAAGCCCCACAGAAGATAACACAGTGCTCAGTCTGGGATGAAGCAGATGTGTGTGCAACTGACCACCCATCAGTGGATGAAAGGGAACTTAAGTGTATGGTAGGAGAAATTAATTTCTGTGTTTTGTTAGGAGTGTGAAAAAGAGCGAAGAACATGCCTATGGGGTATATATGGCTATATTTAAAGCTCTTACCTACAAAGAGAGTTACCCTCACTCAGGTCTACAGCTAGGGGAAGCTTGAACTTTTCATAAAAAAATACATTTGCTTTACCACAGTTATTAAAAGGGCTCGTGGAAAATTTATGAACTTGGAGAAATCTCTGTCTGTTTTGACAGACCTAGAAAAACTAGCAAAGGTGGAACTTTACTGGCTTCAATAAAACATTAAGAAAGTGACTGAAACCATTCAAAGCCTTTAAAAAAAGGTACTTAAAAAGCAACAAAACGAAAACTTTCAACAATCACACAGAGCAGGAGATAGAGCAGCAGCCTTTCAAGAAATTAAAATCCACTCCTCAGAAATGAAAGTATGTTTGGATGTGCCCTGATTCCCAGTCCCCCTTCCTGTCCCTTGCTCACTAAGCCATGCTAGCGGAGAAACACAGACCATCTACTACTGTAAACCATGCCCTTTTGTACTTCTTGAGAAGGGGAAAACAAAAAGCCAGCCACATATCTTGCATTGGCTGCATATCTGAGTCAGTCAGTTCAGAAAGGTCAAGAGACTAATGGGGTCAGCATGGTTAAAGCACCCTGGTTTCTGCTGCCATCAGGATGGTATCCAGCTGCTCATGACTTCCCCAGGACAACCAGATAGCTTTGAGCTGGACTGATTAGTACTCCCTGTGCTGCAACTCCACACTGAGTCTCCAGCTGATGTGTCCACTGCAAGATATATGCAGCCCAGTGGCTCCTTTTTGCTCACTTCCAATTAGGAGACAGTAGGAAAAAAGAAAAAAAAAAAAGTAGGACCTCAAAAGCTCGTCAGAGCTATTTTGAAAGGAAACCACGTAGGCAGACACCAAGGTCTGCTTTATTTCACCAAACTGGTTTATTTCATTTTTAAGCCTGCTGTTACTGGGAAGAAAGTGCAGATGCCCAAAGGCAAGCAGAAGCCAAGTAAGCAGATGTATCATGGAAGCAGGGAACAGGAATATTTGCTCTTGCAGCCATGTCATATTGCCCCTTTATTTTCCCCAGAGCATGCAACATAGCCCCAAAGTATGGCCAAGTGGCTGCATTCTCAGAGCCAGACTGCTCAGATGGCCAAGATGTTCCCCTCCAGCTCTGGACAAGAAACTTGGGAGAGCTCTGAATATGGCTGGGGATGCAAAAGGAAGAGCACAAGCTTATCCTACCTCCCAACACAGGTTCACTATGCTCACCAGGCATCTGGGAATCCTAGATTGCCAGATCTTTGCTAAGATGGGCACTTTCTCCATCAGGTATATCACTTACCCTAGTGGCATCTGGAGACTTGAACCCATTGCATTAGAAAACATATGGAGGTTAAAGTTACTACTACGCTGTCAGCCCTAGAGAGTTTTGCTGCTTTTACAAGCATGCAATTGAAGTGTCAAGCTGCCTCATGATATTGGTACAATCATTTTGTGATATGTTAGTTTGCCAACTACATATCCTGGCCTCTGGTGTGGATATTCGAAGGCGATGCTGGAATAGCCAGACCAGCAACCATTGCCTTTGCTGCAGAGCACATCAGAGATGTGAACGTACTGGCAAAAGTGGTTCTTTTTGTGACAGTTGCACTACTTCCCTAAGTTAGTGATGTTATGTCAGCAAGGGCAGAGATTACATCTGCAGAGGAGAGCCTAACCAGGTAAGCATGTTATTTTTCCACTTCTTCAAGCAATGTAGCTATGAAGACATCTCCCCATGCAAGCTTGACCTGTAACTTAACACTATAAAACCTTAAAAAATAACAACCACTGCTCCTTTACTGACAGCCACATAGGTGTAACTATTCTGACATCTAAGCCTCAGGCCTCATGTCTGTAGTGAAAGAAAGCACAAAAATACATACACTTGGGGAAGGTAGGAATGAAGAACAAGAGCACTAAAGCTGATCTTAAACCCTAAAGCTAATCATAAAAAAAAGACATTTCAGGTCCTTCTCTCCAGATGATCTCTCTGCACATGGCTATACATTGATGTCAAGAGTTTGTATCTTTTCCTGATATCTTGACACCAGGTAGTACAACAGACCGGCCATCAAGTAACAAATAGGAATTAAATTGCTTCAGTGGGTTTAATACAGAACCTAAAACCTGAAAAGGTTTATGCTTCTGGGTTTAGTTTTGAGTAGTTTCCTGAAGATGGAGCGCATCACCTAATTCTAGAGGCTCAACCGCCTCTGCCCAACAAAGCTAACACTCAACTGGACTTACTCTGGACCAAACATGTCAGGAGAGAACAACGTGAAGGGTACAAAAAAAAGTGGTTGAAGTCAGCAGCAGGGCGAAGCATGCACTCAGATCATCTCCCAGCCCAGACCACAGACGAACTAAATTCCTTATATTCCTCCTCTGGAAGAGGCAGCTGATAGCACCCTTTCTATCCTTCTCAAGATATCAGGAGGTTAAGATGACATGTGCACAGTGTTTAGAGATTCTTAGGTGGAACAGACAAACATGCAGTGCTACAGACCCTAAGTGTCAGCACAGTCAGCATGAATGTGTCATCTCTCTAGGGTTTACCACCTTCAAAAGCAGCAGTTGAAGTTTTCACAGCTCTGATGCCTGGGAGAAACTCATTTGTATTTTACCCCCTAAATAAAATGCTTAGTTTATAAAGGTGTTTTCTCTCCACTGTGAAGGGATGTCTCATGTTTAAAATGAAGGTTTGAAACCATCGGGCATTAAAAAAGGCATCTTTGTGATGTTCCTATCCATCTGATTGTCAGCCATTCATCCTCACCACAGCATCACTAGATGCTTGTAGGTGCTACAAGCTTTCATGTATGGCCAGACAAGACGGGGTCTTTCATAAGGACAACTGTGAAAGATTCATTTGGAATTTTAATGCTTTATAAAGACACCTCAGAGACAGAGAGCAGGAGGCTCTCATCTCCCCAGACTTGTTTAACCCTGTGCTTGGTTGCAGGATACAACTGGTTTCTTCTGAGGCAGAAAAACTACACATAAATACCAGGGAGCAAAGACTACTCATTCCAGTGCAGCTCTCTACATCAGCACTGTTCACTTGCAAAGATCTGGCAACATGGAATAATCATTCTTGAAGTCAATGACCTAACGCTGTTTGCACGCTACCAGTGCACACCGAGTGCACATGCACAGTGTCTTATGGAAGCCAGAAGGGCCCTGGGAAATGGTTGTTCTGGATTCAATTTAACCAAAACTGCCAGAAGTTATTTAGCACCACAGGACTGCACAGAGAAGCCGTAACAGTAAATGCCTGTAAACAACTGGAATTAAGAAAGATAGTTGTCAGGGGAGCAGAGGAGACCTTTTAGGAACAGCTGGAATTCCAGCTGGGTTTTCTAAGGGACAAGAAGCTCACCTGAAGCACCCAGGCTTTGACAGGCCTGCCTGCACTGCTTCTCAGTTGTAAGCCTGTTTATGTCCACTACACAGACTCCTCTCCCTTTCAGGACAGACAACCTGTGTTCAGATATACAGAAGGAGATCAGCA